AGATTCTTGATATTGGTTTATTTTGTTCATCTTTTTTGTTTCCATCTTTAAAATCTTGTCATTTGTGTAGGCTAAACTAGAAATCTAATACATAACTCTTCATTACACCCTCTTTGTGTAAAACCAACAAGTTTGTTTGCTCTCTCTCACTACACATCCATACATCAATTATTAAAAAAATAAATCCGCCGGTAATTTTTTTTTAAAATTAAATCTTTTTTAAAATATTATTTTTAAAGAAAATATTTAATATATATATATATATATAGTTTTCCGGCGGATTTATCCGCCGGTATTTTTAAAAAAAATTAAATCTTTTTTAAAATATTATTTTTTTAAAAAAAATTTAAAATTAATTATTTTTTAAGTTAATCAAGATTTTTTTTAAAAACGGGCGAAGATTTTCCGGCGGCCGTAATCCGCCGGAAATGGGGAAAATACGCCGGAAAAGCCGCCGGAAAAACAATCACCGGCGCCCTTTTTTCCGGCGGCCAAATCCGCCGGAAAATCGCCGGAAAATCATTTTTCCGGCGGATTTCCGGCGGATTTGGCCGTCGGAAAAAGTGGGTTTTTTGGTAGTGGAATATTGTACTTACAGCTTGGGAGGTTGTACCCTTACATACACATACACACACACACATACATATACATATACATACATGCATTTAATTATATAAAGTTAAATGTTAATATACTTTTTAGAATGTTATCTTATATGTTGTACAACGTACATTAATTGGGATTCAATTTTCTTCACACATTCATCACCTAGAAGAGTTAATCAGGATAATCAAATGAAAAAGCAATATGGGGTCGCTAAAATAAATATAACAAACGTAAATGTTGTCTTTAGATTTTTCATACTGTTGTGTAAAATATCTCATTTTAACATATTTGAAACAATATCACAATGTTTATTGGAATAAATTACATACAAAATAATAAAGATTATATTTATGAATTTATATTTTACTTACATGTTCATGTTTAAYAATATTATTGTAGTTCAAAAATGATTTTTTACTATTTATTCATTACCCGCTACCTTAGTGGGTAGGCTATGGATATAGATAAGAGTTTTATGACATGAATAATTATCCGTCTCTTTATCYGCTATTTTAAATGGATTGGATAACAGATTAACCCTTGTCTTTCCCTTACCCTACCTATTGTCACCCGTATATATCTCCAAACCAATTTCATCTTATTGTGATGTTGAGGGGGAGAAAAAAAAATTATCCGATCAACAACATAACAAGAATGGTCATACATTTCAATGGTGAGACGGAACAATATCAAATCATCGGATCAACCATTATGGGCGAGCAAACCCAACATCCGAAGCAAGATAAAGGAAAACAATCAACGACGTTTGAAGAGGGTTTATGGACAGATACAAAAAAGAGAAGACAAACGAAGTAACAAATAAGGTGAGATTGTTGATCTCAACTATTGAATTTGTATATAATACTAGTAGACATCCGACCAAAACACTTAGAAAAGAAACATTCTTGTTTTCTTTATTACTAGGTACATATTTGATGAAGCACCATCCATCGGCCATCCTATCTACTGATTTCATCCAACACCCTTATTTAGTTCGGATATATCATTACTTTGGATATATAYAGTTGGCATTTCTTCAGAAGAAATATCTTAATCCAATTAAGTTRTCCATCAGATGAAGATTGAAGCTTTTACCAACTATCCATCTATAACCAATATAAACTTCATAATGTCTATAAACTAGTAAATCYGAATTGTAGTTTACATTTCAGATATAGACAAAKGTAGGATTTTTACTTGTAAAGTATTATAACTATCTGTATTGKTTAAAGAGCAAAATGCCTTCARCAAAATCTAAAACTAGTTGAAGTTAGGTCAAGATCGTCATCAAAGTRGATTGGKTTGTCATCTMGCCGAAAGRAGATCAATACAAGGTAAAAAGTCAACTAGTAGTCTGATATATATTACTACTGGCAAGYCGAAACTTGAAGTACRAATTTGGCCAACAARTTTGGCTCTTCAACTCACTTGCTTCCTAATCTTAGTATGAGAACATGTTGTTTGCTTTAATATTTCCGTCATCATACTAAAAGGATGGACTAAGTTAAAAATGTGTCTATATAAAACTCAAAGGTTGAAGTGAAGAGTAATAGGATACATGCATCAACTAACAAGAAAAAGACACGCATAAAAGTTGGACAGATAGCATTAAATACAATGATGGCTATAAAATGCCACTTTTGGCATACATTGCAATTCACCCGTTTTAAAATAACAATCCTTGAGAGTGTTTCTGAAGTAAATTTGGCATCATCCTCCGAAGAACATCATTTGTTTATTGGATCTAAAAGGAAACCCTTCTCCATTACTCTGCTTTAGTTAGCAAGTTTGTCTCAATCTGTATTCTTTRTTTTTATAAGAGTTATAGGCAAAAAATTAAAAAGTGAAGATATATTGTGTTTATATTCATCCCTCCCTTATACAATCACTTCTTGCGTAACTTGAATCTGTCGAATTTTCGTCGAAAAAGTATCAAAATAATTCAYAATTATTTTTTTWAAATTTGTCAAAAATCATTCTCAAAATCCAACTTGAAAYAGTCAAATTTCCGTCAAAAACTTTATAAATAAGTGAGTTTTTTTTTTCAAATCGGTTGATATTCCGTTGCAAAATTCAATTTGGATCCGTCAAATATTTGAATCTAATATAAAATAATAGATTGGAAGGAAAAAGATTCATACATAATTATCATAAGTAGATTTCGTCGTGAATGAGTCTAACTTAACGTATATATGTTTAATGAGGATGTAGCTTAATTAATTAAGGTGGAAAAGTGGGTAATTAATGAAACGTTATACTCACTTAGACAAAAAAACGACTTATTTACACCCATCATGTCCTAATTAAGCTCGTTACGAAGAATAAGATCCATTATACCAGCTTAGACCAAAGCAACCCTTTAACGAAACATTAAGAAGCACCATGACCCGTTATACGTCTATTAGACTGATTATGACTCACTTAGACACATCATAACCCACTTAGACTAGTTGAGGATAATACGACCTTATACCCACTTAGACAAAAATGAGTCACTAAACTTAATAAATAACCAATATGACCCGTTATACTTCAATTAAATCTATTAGGGTAAATTCAAATTGATTAATGACCCATTTAAACCTATCATGACCCACTTAGACTAGCTCGTTGATGAGAATAATACCCATTACGCCCATTTCGGCCACACAGCTAATTAACGAAACATTAAGGACTATCATGACCCATCATACCTCAATTAGACTTCGAACTACTTATGATCCATTTAGACACATCATGACCTATTTAGACTCGTTAATAACAATGAGACTCATTATACTCGTTTAGACCAGAACAACCATTAACGAACCAACAAGATCCATTGTCGTAGCACATTTACACCCATTGTTACTATCCAATAAAACTTGTTAATCGCGGCATTTAATATAAGGGTGTGTATGGGTGGCTTGGAACCAGATCAAAATCTTTCGAAGATTAAAATCCGTYGAAAATCGCTCGAAGAAGTTCCTTGAATTTCCATCGAAAATTCTACGAAAAATGCTTGTCGAAAACCCCTTGGAATTTTCATGGGTTTCTCGATGGATCTTCTCCGTAAAAATATATCAAAAAACCACATTTTCAACGAAAATTCGGTGAGAAATTCCGTCGAAAACCCACATTTTCGATGGAAATGTCAGTCTAAAATGCCCCTCTATTTTGCAGTGACTAACCCAATAATTAAGAAAAAATTGAGTTATATACATTTATACTTGTTATATATAATCAGCACTAAAATCCAAGGTATYACCAACGGCAAAAGCCCTTGGTAAACCTTTGAAAACGGGCTCTATTGACARCTTTTCGATGAGAAAAACCATGGGAAAAAARTGTCTATTTATKCTTACGGGGMAAGTTGTTGCATACGATAATGTTTTAATGGAATAGAATCTTTTCCGGTAAACGAAGTGAGTGTTGGCTCTTACCGGTAATTAATGGTTTACTCAAACCAAGTCTTAGTTATTTGGCATCTTGCTTTCTTTTATTATCATGCTCTAAATTTCTTTGTTATAATAGCTTTTAAGCATGGTGGACTTTTGGTTGCGTAACTCAAGTTTGTAGTTTCTTGAAATCCCTTTAACATCACCGTTGTCGGGATGTTCCGAAAAAAATTCCAAATCAAATAACGAACATATTTCTTATATCATCTATGATCAGTAATCAAAACATGACAAAGCTATGTGACTAATTACAACAAAGATTTTTGGTTAATTAATCATAACTATATCAAACTTGCATTCCTAGTTATCTATGAATCACATTTCTGTGCACGAGATATCTAATAGTAGCCATTATATTTCGTCCAGCTAAAAGTGAAACGATACTCTGCATCTCCATCTTAGCCGACACCAAGTAAATCACAGAGATTACAAGGGCTAAAGC